GGCTGGCGCCAGTCTCGCGCGCAAGCTTGTCGCAGAGGAGATGGGTGTTGATGTCTCTGAGATCACCGATGACCTCGACCTCACTGACATTGGCATGGACTCCCTCATGAGTCTCACCATTCTCGGCTCCATGCGCGAGGCTACCGGTCGCGATCTTCCTGCTGACTTTCTCACTGTCAATGTCACCATCAAAGACATCGAGACTGCTCTTGATATGCGCCCCAAGCCGCAGCAGCAGGCGAAGGTTGCCAAACCCGCTGCTAAGGTTTCAGCCCAACCCCCTCAACTCGCTGAAGTGAACAAGAAGCTCGCTTCCCTTCCTGATGTCTCCCACCTTCCCCCGGCCACCTCTGTCCTCCTTCAGGGTAACCCCAAGATCGCCACCAAGAAGTTCTTCTTGGTTCCTGATGGCTCCGGTAGCGCAACCAGTTACATCTCCATCCCCAACATCTCTACCGACATGGCTGTGTACGGACTTAACTGCCCGTTCATGAAGTGCCCCGAGAAGTGGAGCTGTGGTGTTGAAGGTGTCTCTCGCCTGTACCTCTCTGAGATCAAGCGTCGTCAGCCTCAGGGTCCGTACATCGTCGGTGGATGGTCCGCTGGTGGTGTCATGGCCTACGAGGTTGCTCAGCAACTCGTCAACTCTGGAGAGCAAGTTGAGAACCTCGTTCTCATCGATGCCCCATGCCCTGTCGCTCTTGACCCTCTTCCCGCTCGTCTCCACATCTTTTTCGATCAGATAGGCCTCCTCGGTACTGGCAAGCCCGGCGGTACTCCCTCTTGGCTCCTTCCTCACTTCGCGTCCGCTATCCAGAACCTCAAGGACTACGACCCGAAGCCTATGAACCCCAGAATCGCCCCTCCTGTCCTCGCCATCTGGTGCACCGACGGTGTCTGCCCCAACCCTGAGGACCCCCGTCCTCCCCCAGGTGAGGGAGAGGACCCAGCGCCCATGAAGTGGCTGCTCAACAACCGTACCGACTTCTCCGACAACGGTTGGGCACAGCTCCTCCCCAAGGAGAACTTCCAATATGCCGTCATGGGCGGTAACCACTTCACTATGATGAAGGGTGAGCACGTAAGTCACTCCACTCCTACTATCTCCCCAACGACATACTAACAGCATATCAGAGTGTCACACTAGGCAAGCTCATCCAGCAGGGTCTCAAGCTATAGGCTTCGACTCGCATTCATTCACTCATAGACCTTGTGTATATCGCAAATTGCATGCATCTCCTTTGTTCAAGTGTTGAATATCGAGATGTTGGCGTTGGGCTCTCGGTTACTTGTCTTTGGCATGGCGCTGGCGAAGCTGTCATGACTTGATGGCGTTGGGATTCTACCTTCTTGTGGCTTCATTTGTCTTTTACTGCACGCACACGCTGCGCTTTTTTCTCATGTTCACGCACGTTATGATTTTACACTGTACTTAATGCTTGGTTTACCCACAATGGCAAGGGTTTGTTCATAACATCTGGTCTTCATTGCACCGTGATACTGCCTCATCTGCCCTTCGTGATCCTTCAGCCTCGCCGTACTCTCATGGCACTGCCGCATTGCTCACCTTGTCCTGCTCTCTCAGCGTTACTTCAAAACTCTACCTTCTTTGCTCTCGCGTAGGTGACCTGTTCATAGCCTAACTCTCGGCCACCCAGTCAAGACATTGACCCCTGAGAATTGCCTCCGGCTCCACTGTCCGACAACCATAGTTTCACGAAGAGCCTCAAGCCCAGGCTCATGGTCTCTGCATTTGTTGGGATTCCAAATATCACCCCCACGACCCTATATGTAATCGACGTGTAATACCTCAAGTTACTTGCTTGCATGACAGCGCCATCTCCGAATCAACCCTGTACATGATCGTAGACCGCGCAGACGTGAAACCTCCCCAGGTCCCACCAACAACGCACATCCATGTCTTGCCACGCCTTTGACAGTTCTCTCCGCCGGGACCAAGGGTTCTGATCTATTTACCCAGGTGGCTGCAGGTACAACGAACCACCTGACTCGCGGATAAATCGGTGCATGTTCGATCCTCAAATCGCACATCTCGATAACCTACCCGTTATCCCGTCAACCACACAACCGCTCATGCGAGATAGATCAAGCTTTGTCTAGCACGATCCAGATGGCCCCAGTCCGCAGTGAAGGGTCTCTTCCCATGCGCAATGCAACAGCGGTCCGACGGGAACGCCGTTGGGCGGTTACAAACATATTCTTGCATCTCCGGACGATCACCCATCGTATAGCGGGCGTTCCTATAGTACCACTGCACATGGTTTTTGGATATGAAGAAGTTCGGGACCGCCGTGCGAGGCTCTGAATGACTGGCCGGTGGTTTGGTCGGCGACTCTGCATCCAGGGCCTGGTTCGTGGCGCCCTGCATAAATTGACATGCAATATGGGTTCGCAAAAGATACTGAGCTTGATGATGCCTATGTTGTTGTTCAGCGTTCTTTCGGCCCGGTACCGAAACGGGAAAGTCGCGAACTGCAGTTCCATACTTTGACCACTATAGGGTACCGCATTAAACATCTCGGATCGAGAAGCTAGCGAATTGCTAATCTTTCGTGCGTCGCCACGGTGCAAAGTGAGTGACGTTCGATAAATGCGTGCTTCGCAGATGGTGACGTACGCATTGTTCTCAATGGATGCGGCGCATCCTTCCGACTTCGCTTGGAGGTTTGCGGTGGGGATGTACTTCAAGCTGAGCAGAACAGGTGAATTCTCGGCATACTGAACCGTCTGTGCGACGGATTGGGAACATTTCAGTGGTCCCTTCTTCCGATTCCCGCAGCCCGCAAACAGCCAAGCATCTACTCAGCTGTTCCGGTTCACGTGACTGCAACACTGTTATCACAAGTGAATGTATGCAGTCATATACCCTGATCTCACGCGTCGCACAGCGTCCAAGGTGCATTTCCGGAAACATGGTATCTGGAGCGAAAGTTGCCGAGAGCCTGCCACTCTTCCAACTCTGCAAGCAGGCTGGGCAAAACCCTGGAAGCGCTCTAGGTCGCTATCGCGGCGCAGCAGGATTTCGACCGCATCTCACCGTACGTTATTCATTACGGGGCTACCTGAGCCCTGCCACTGAGTCAAGCTTCAAGTGGAAAGTTGGCTGTCACATCGCTCCCGCGTTCCTCAGCTGGCAAGCGAGCGCCCGCCACGTCATGCCATCACAGTAATGTGCAGGGCGCCTCGCTGACCAGCTACTCAGCCATCTCACTGCAGATGTTCTTTTGCAACGGTACCAAGAGTGAAGTGGGTACATGAAGTCAAGACACGCCCAGAGAAGGAATGTCGATCAGAGCCAATCCGACCTGCAGTCCCGAGAACCGGTCTGACAGCTGCATCGCCGTATGCGCCGCGGGCTGAATGATGATGATCACTACGATGATCAATATCGAATTCCTTCTCTGATGCAGAGTAGCTTTCCAGAAGCGGACGATCGAAACATATCTGCCGATCTATAATCACTTCTAGGATGTGACCCTGATGCATGAAGCATAAGTGCTATCCTTGGCCTTAACGAGACAGGACTAGATCTCATGCTGCGAAGACCCGAACGCTACTAGGCCGTGTGTCCTAAACGGATTTGCGTTGTTCAATCCGTATTCAGCTCCGGACGAAAGAAAGCAATGGTTAGCCAGTGTACAGTGTAGCAGTATTCGCTGACCAATGGATTCGAATCGGAGGCATGCATCGAGGATACGGGCAATGGTCCAATGCGCTGGCAGAAATGCTTGGTCGGCGAGGATACGCCAGAATGATATGCTCGGAGAATAGTGAGGAGGTCCGAACGCGCATCTGCAAGGCCGTAAGCAGCTATTCCTGAAGCGCACTCAACAGTGGCGGCTGCAACCGCTGGTCGCAGCCTTGAGCGTAATACAGCCCATGTTTTCTTTACGATGATTAAGTTTGTGGCTTGTAACGATACGACAGCCTTATGGCGCGACGAGGAGTTGGCGGGACGGGGAGTGATTGGTTCGGTTTTGCCTGGCTGAGTAGTTCACAGGCATCGATGGTCGCATCTTACATGATGTTAGCCTTGCAGTAGTTTTCGATAGTCCTCGATGAGACGACCAGGGCTGCGGATTGCCGTCTCCATAGGGCAGAAAGTATGGCCGCCCGTTGCGCTAGGCCTTTTGCTATCCGTGTATGCGATAGAGGCATGGGATACCAGTGGATGAGGTACGTACTGCATGAGCTCCAGCCACAGATGTGGCAGTTGGCTTGATTGTGACCGGACCCGAGGCCGTCGAGCTGCCGTGCTGTATGTACAACGACCTCATTATCGTGGCGGCTAGCTGCGGATAGGGGGATCCGTGCTCTCCCATCGAATCCCAGGAGAATGGAGTCTTTTCGTAATCCTGATGCTGATGATAACGAGGTGCTACCCGTGTAGCGTTCAGTAGTGTACCAGGCGTACGGCAGGGGCGTGGCATGCAAGCGATGCTAGGTGGTGAGATCATATATTATTAGCCAGATCGGCCAGTGTGCTTGCATAAGCCAGCTAGCCAGGTCGGGCGACGGGCGAGATGTGAAGAAGGCTGGGGCGGGGCGGAGGAATTTGGGGTCTCAAGGGGCGGAGGGGCGGAGGGGGCAGCTGTCCCGCCAAGGAACGCGGGCATAGCGGGGCATTTTCTCCGAGACGCGAAACCTTGAACGCGAGCAACGCGAACGACGCTGACGCAGATAATTTCAATTCGCAATGGCTGATGTAGCCAAAGGCGGGAGGTGAGTACTGCAGCAACTCTTAAATCTATGTCTAATCATTTGGCAGTGGTCCCGAAAGTATGCCTCCCAACTTCGCCGATACGCTCACACATCTCTGACAGCCTCCCAGCGAACCCTCGCGGTATACCCGTTGCGCCCTTCATAGACCGGGTTCGAAGTTCCTCCGCCTCTGGAATGCGTGGATCTAATATCAGCAGGTTGAGGACTATGTCACCGATCGCGCAGATGTGGAGAAGACCATCAACAACTTCAAAGAGATGATCTCGTAGGCCCTACCCAGCCACACAACTCCACATGAATAGCGATACCTAATACACCTTCCCAGAAAGTACCAGTTCATGCAGCAAAACACCCAACGGCGAGCTGCAGGTCTCAAGGACAAGATCCCCGACATCCAAAAGACACTCGAGACAGTGCGCTTCCTGAAGTCGCGGAAAGACGACGCAGAGCCTCTCGAGACTACCTTCGAACTCAACGACACACTCTACGCCAAAGCGGAAGTTCCCCCTACCGACGAAGTCTACCTGTGGCTCGGCGCCAACGTTATGCTCTCGTACTCTATACCCGAAGCCGAAGAGCTGTTACAATCGAAATTGTCGACTGCGAAACAGAGTCTGGGCACTTGTGAGGAGGACTTGGACTTCCTACGTGAACAGATCACAGTACGTATACTCCAGGTGGTCTGGAGGGTATACAGCTGACACAACCATAGACACTCGAGGTCGCTTTCGCGCGGGTTTACAACTGGGATGTTGCACAACGGAGGAAAGAGAGGGAGGGAGGCGAGTCGACAGAAGAGAAGAAGGGTGCATCGTCAAAAGAGTGAGGGTTAGAGTCTCTCTTCCCTCACTGTACAGAAAGGGAGCTCATGTAGCCGAGCGGCGCATGCGACGAAATGTAAAAGCCAGTACCACAAGACCATGACGATGATGAGAATCTTCATGAAAAGTTTCGAGCCAGATCCGTGCAGAACGTGAAGGCACGCTTTTTGTTCGTCAATTTTATGTACAACTAATAAAGCTTCCGACCATGCGAAAGAAAGGACATCAAGCCCCAACTAACGATACTATTAACAGCCATCTTTCCTCTTCGACATGGGAACACAGCCACCATTACCCATGCATTACCGCGTATTCATACATCGATCTACCTCAAAGAGTAATCTTGACACCACCCGCCGCAGTCTCAGTAGCATTCATAGGTGCCATGCCTTTGCCAGTCTGCTCCTTGACGTACTCGTTCATCATCTTGGTAATGGCGACCTGGCCACCCCAAGTAACGGCAGCAACCATGCTGTCAACTTCCTTCATGGTCATGATGATCATACCTTTGGGGGCCTTGACATCACCGTATTTGTCAGTGCTGGAGGCTTTGGTCTCCGCGCGGCGCTCCGGTTTGGCGGTCAAGGTGCTGTTTGAGGCGGAGCCTTCAAGGGCTGGCTTCTGACCTTCGGTCGATGGCTTCTTCTCACCCTCGGTGGACGGTTTCGCTCCTTCAGTAGCTGGCTTTGCGCCTTCGGCTGTTGGCTTCTCGGCCTCAGGAGTTGGCTTGAGCTCGGTTGGGCTAGCAGCGGCTGCGGGGGCCTCACCGGCAGGCGTCAGACTAGAAGATGTAGCAGGCTCAGCAGCAGTGGGCGTCTGTCCCTCTGCAGCGGCAGGCTGAGGCGCGGCAGCTTGAGGGGCTTGGGCGGGCTGAGCGGCTTGCGCACCGCCCATCATCTGCATCGTAAGGATGTACTCTCCATCAACTTGGCGGACGGGAACGGCAATGCGCATGTTGGCCTGGTCGAGAACAGCATTGGCCTGGATTGGGGTGAAGGTAGGCGCAAGAAGAAGCTGAGCTGCGACAGGGTTGTTGCCGTTGGTAGGTGTGCCCTGCTGTGTGCCCTGCGGTACAGTCTGCGGTGTGCCTTGCTGGATCTGGCGGGCAACCTCCTGTCTGAACTCGTCGCGGCTGAGACCACGGCGCTGGGTAGCGGCTACACCAGCGGCTCCACCGAGGTTCCCTGTTGCACCTCCGGGGTTCTGGAGAACACCGCGCTGGGCGACTGCGACAGCGACCTGGCCAGTAGGGGGGACTCCCATGGCTTGCATCATCTTCTGGATACGGACAGGGTTGACTATATCTCTGTTAGCCTCAGATGCGAATGAAAGAAACAATGACTTACGGGGCATCTGAATGACGGTGACTTGCTGGTTCAGATCCGGAGTGACGGCAGCCAGGTTGGTTGTGACCGAGTAACGGTAGTCGTTGACCGGGGCCTGGCCCTGAAGAGCAGCAAGCATACCAGAGTCAACACCATCTTTGACATCGACGTTCATGGTCATGGGCTGAGTAGCACGGGTAGACATCCTGAAGCCGTCCTGGAACTCGTTCTCTTGCAGACCGGTACCCTGAATTGCCACTGAGGTGCTGCCATCACTACCGAAAGGAGTGACCAGAGTGTTGGTTTCAACAGTCTGGCGGCCAACGACCATATATTCACCGTCCATCTGAGTACGCTTGACCATACGGACCGTCATATCAGTGGTGTTGACACTCCTCATAGTCTCCTGGATCATCCAGGACTGACGGTCGGGTGACAGCATAGCCACGTAGGTGTTGTCCGGCTGCACCGCAGCGCCCTGCAAGTTCTGCATGGTCATGGCCATCTCGATCTGGCCACCAACTAGATCGGTAGCGCCATTTGTGCTGATGATCATGGATTGCGGTGAGACAGCGACGAAAGACTGACCAGTCGTTCCTGTGACCTGGTTGGCGGGGATGGCGGGTGTTTGTTGATTAACGATTATCTGCTGCTGTTTCTGGGAGAACGTCTCGACCCTGGAGCGGTCGGGGAATTGGAATGAGTTAAGTTTCATCTACGTCCATTAGTCTGATGCCATTGGGGCTATTCGCAAATATGGGTTACTTACGTCGCCATTGAGATTAAGGACTTGGTTGTAGGACACTTGTTGCGTTTGTCCCGTTTGAGCGAACACCTGTGTACAGCTCAAGAAGAGAAGAACAATGGAAGAGACAGTGCCGGACGTCATGATTGTAGTAACAAAAGCCACCTGGGCTTGGAAAGTATTAAGTAATAAGAGGGAAAGAGAGATTACTAAAGGAAGAGCGAGAGAATGGCGGAGCAACTGACCAGACTTGCTGCAGCAGAAAGGTACTCGAACAGTCGGTTGTGGCACAGCAGCTTATTATGAACTTCGCGTCTCGTACCATGACTTCGGCTTTTGGTCCGGCGTATCCCGATCCGGTCAATGGGGTTTCGTGTCGTGCTCCAAGAATTGATGGCAAGATGTTCCGGAGTGTGGAGTTACATAGCCTTCAGGCATTTTCAAACCCTTCGGACTGACGAGGCCCACACAAAACTTGCTATGGCTTCTTGATACGCCCGTGTCACTCGACGAGACCTGTGTCCTTACAGGTATGGTGTCGGCCAAGAGATTGCTCGACTGACGGCAATGCTTCTTTTCGAATCTGGTTTCAAACGTCAGGCAGAACGTTTAGTTTGCGCATCTGGGACGGATTTGCCGGAAAGCTTAGCCCTAGTGACTTGCGAGACAACTCGGGTAGTGAGACTAATATGGACATTTGTATTCATGTGACAATAACGAGAGGAATCAATGCGATGCTCACAAGTCAGAGTAAGATTCATTGCGTCGAGGGAATTGTGGTTCTTGTCCCTTTCGCTGCGCTGCTTGCAGCAGCCGGTGCAAGTGCCGCCATGGTGTTATCGATGCAGCTTCAAACCGCGGGGGCTAGTCGCAAACGACCGTTCGTGAGGCATGAAGAATACTATGAGTAATTACGTCCAAAGTTTATCGCTCGCGCATCGCATCGTCAAACGACGATGTTTGGAGTGGTGTTTCGCGAATGCAGTTTGTCGCACGAAACGATCGCCCTCGGCTGCCTAGGCTCGAACTAGTCCCAGAACGATAACCTAACGATAACCGGTTAGGTAAAAGTTTGCAGCAGTTTCCCAATCCGATAGACTTGTTCACATTTCTTACTATAGTAGAAGCTACGAAGGTGAGAACTATTGGTAGCCGCGTCCACTGGGTGCCTTTACACTGCCACTCGAGAAGGTGGCCTTGTACTTGCCATCCATGGCCTTTGATCTCTGCTTGCTGCTTATGCCTGTCCGGTCCGTGGTGGGTTGCGCTGCCATAAAGCTATCGAACTCATCATCATCTGCATCGCCTTCCGCGGGCTCGCTGTCGTCCTCCACTTCGGCTTTGGCATTCTTCGGTGCAGGCTCCGTTTGAGGTATGCGTTCGGGTGCCTTCTTATCGCCCTCGTCTTCATCTTCATCATCCTTTGGTGCAGGGTTGGTGAAGGGCTTCGATGCCAAGACACGGCGCCTTAGCTCAGCCATCTCCTCTTCATCGTCTGAAGATTCCGGAATGTTATACGGGTTTCGCGGGTCAACCTCGTCTTCTTCCTCTCTATCATCATCTTCGTCCTCATCCTCATCCTCATCTGATTCGTCGATAACCCGCCGATTCATGTTTCCACCGGCCCAGACATCCTCTTCCACGCCATCCTCTTTCTCTGTGCGACTCGTGTTGTATTCGCGCTCTATTTTCTCTAGCCAGACTTCCTCAGCCTTCTTGATTTGTTCTTCGTTTTCACACGCCATGTAACGCTTGAGCAGTGCGGCATTGATGTCCAAGAACGCTTGACCATAGGAGAAAGTCGAGAGGATCGACTCGGCCCATTCAGGGTGTCCGGTAATATAGTAACAAGCCGCCAGAGCTTCGACACAGTTCAATCGCCAAGGACGACCGTAGTTTGTTGGATTCGCGGCGACGAGGTACGGAAGTAGGCGTTCGCATTTGCCACCTATCCTGCCAAATGGGACTTCGTCTATCCTCTTCCAGCTGGCTTCTACGACCGCAGCGCCGTATTGCTCCATCAGATCCTCGTCTTCGCGACTCAGTATCTTCTTCGCCTTCGGACTGACCACTACACCAGCGAACTTCTGTCCTACGTGAAGCTCGCGCATCATACCCAGGCGCATGAGCCTCTTGCCAGAACAGCGTTTCGCATCGCAGTGTCCGAGGTCCCAGCATGCGGCTTTGAACTCGGGCTTCGCAGGTCTCGGGTTGGCGCCGTCGTTCTCCTCTTCTTCTGCATCTGATGCGCGGCGGGGGCGAGGAGGCGCGCGTGCTTTCGCCGGGTTTCGAAATTTGTTGTTGCCCTTGAAGTCTTTCTTATGGCGGACCATGCTGACTTGTTGATAGGTCTTGAAATAAAGGTGTTTTGCGGTTTGGGGCTGAGTGAGTTGCACAGTGGCGGGGCAAGAGTGAGTGGAATAACATTTGAACATCGTAATCGATAAGGCGCGCTAGTGCAATGACGTTGTTTGATCATTTACGCGCCAAAGGTGGATCGCGTCACTTAGCCCATAAAGTATCGCTGCATGGAACTCATTGTGCAGATCGCGGCGAGTACTTCATTTGTGCTTTACGAGTTCGTGGTTCTGGATGCTGTGTCGCGAAAGCTATGAAACACCAAGACTCGAAATCTCCCCCATCTCCTTCTTCTGCTGTCCACCAAGAGAATACGCAGCCTTCCACCTCATCTTGACACTACTCCCGGTCCCTCTTTGCACGTTGGTCACTCGGATGTTCTGAGTAATGCCAAACTTTTGGTTCGGTCCAAGATTGACACCAGATTGTGGCTCCAGCTGCAGTTGCGCACCCTAACGGTTGTTAACTCATAACCTAGCATTTAGAGCTATGATACTTACCTTTGACGCCGCCAACAGAAACTCCAGTCCGGAGATTGGGAGTGGTGTGTTATTCGATACCCGCGATTGAATCAGCAGCGTGGTGTCCGATTCTCTCGAGACATTGAAGAGGACATTAATGCTAGTGTTGGTAACAGATATCTCCTTAGAGGTATCAGGTACAGATGAGGCAAAGTCCCACTCATCGTCATCATTCGCAGCACTGGTCTGTGCGAGATTAGTCGTTGGTGCAGACACCCCGCCACCTAACAGGTCGACAGCACCGGACGCAGGCTGTGGTGGTTTGATAGATCCTTGGTATTGGAAAGGTGATCCTTGTCGTGGTGTAGAAGTTAGGGCCGCAAAAGGATCAGGTGTCCTAGCTGGCTGTACTGGGGGAGGAGAGAACGCAGATTGAGGAGGAGACGTGATTGGGGATTGCGTTGGCTTTGGCGCTGCTGTGAAGAGATCGGTGATAGCTTGGTTGGATGCCTTTTGCGATTGTGGCACAGCCATACCAGACATGCCCAAAACTAGTGAGCGTTAGTAGGCGGATACTCGTTGTGATCCCATAACTTACCTGAGCCGTTTGAGCCTCCCAAAGATATGCTGCCTGATTGTCCATATGTATCTCCGCTTAAAGACAAGCCCAGCAAATCGTCCTCGAGAGCATTGCCCGCCGCGGCTGGCTGTTGGGAAGTCTGCGACGATCCTGCTGTTTGAGGCGCGGGCTCTGGGTCGCCGAAATCAATTAGATTCAACGTGTTGTTGGGACCCTGTGATACACCAGCACCACTGCGACCAAGTGTGCCTTGAGGAATGTTGTTCGCCGCCTCGATGTCGCCTTTCTTGAACAGCTTGTATCTCTCTATTGTCCGGTGTATGCTGTCATTGATCTCGAAGAGCTTCGCTACGGCTTCGTGGTCTTCGGAGTCCTCTTCGCACATCTTCTGGATCTTCGGCTGCGCGTTTTGGAGAGCGTTGGCAAGTTCCTGTCATCTAGTCAGCCAATGTCGCCTGCCCACTACCTCACTTGGCATACCTCAAAGACATCGCCCTCTTTGATCTGATCGCCGGGCTTGTAGCCCTGTAACATCTCCTCGAGTATCTTTGCCTTTTGCTGTATTCTTCCGACTTCTTCGGCAGCCTTTGCGCGCCAATCCGTTTTGTTCCTGGTATCGTATCCGGCCATGACTTTCATGAGCTTGTTCGCTTCTTGCAGATCCGCGGGTCCACCACGACGAATTAACTCCTGAAGCTTCGCGGATTGTGCCTCTCGCTCTTCTTCGGCCATTTCTTCTGCTGATCTGAGATTCTGCGCTTTGTCAGCCATATGCTTCAACCGGCAGGATTGCAGGTACGTACATCGCTAGGGTTCAATACGGCGGCATCTTCCTTGCGCACTTCGGGAAAGATGTAGCCCTTGTAACTCAGCAGTCTGTGCATATCCCTTATGAAGCCTAAGTCGTCCTTGTACCGCGATGTCTGACATATCGTCTGCCGCCATTCTTCTATCAGCTCGAGGATCTTGTTCTGCACACGCGTCGAGTGCACAGGTGGACGTTCGGGGAATCGGCGGACGAGCTCATTGAGGAATTCCTTTGTGCTGATCTGAAGGTGGAATGGGTAGCCGCAGTTCTTGACGCAAATATCTAGGAGCTATCTTGTGGTGAGCTATACGGTGTCTGAGGCGGGGCAGCGTGGGCGTACATTGAGCGCGAGGAGTGCCACGTTCTGGTTGCGGTGGTTGACGTAGTGTACGATGGTAACAGCTGCTTCCCGGGGCCTGGGACGTAGTTAGCCTGCTGCTGGTAGTGGTAGCGTGGCCTGATCTTACGCGGAGCCTTTCTTGCTATTGATCAGGTCGGAGATCTCGAGGTTCAGGGCCAGATTAGGCTCAAAGTTTTGCGGATCGCAAGCTTGTACTATTTTTTGCCAGGTCAGTTCTGCCTGGCACGGGCGTGGTTACGTTGTGCATACGTATGTAGCGCTGCAGTGGTGAACTGGGTGCCTCTCCGAATGCGCCGTAACGATCCCGGGCGGCCATGCGCGCAGACGCTGCCTCCATTGCGCCGCCGGAGGACTTGGATGCTGAGGCTCTAGGCTAGGAGAGGAGAGCAATTCCGAGGTTTGAGAGGGTAGAGACGCGTCCGTCGAGGCTGGTTGTATCTATAACCTATGTTCTTAAGAATTGGTGGGGACTGGAATCGCGGCAGCTGTCCGCCTACTTCGCATGCCTTGGCGCCACCGCAGCTGCTACGTAATGCGCCTCATTTCACATGTTTCCTCGAGTCTCTATGTCGACCTATGTACGCACATGCATGGTCAATGGTTTTCACTAGGAATAAATCTTCATTTGTAGTGTCTATTTCCATCGCCTGTTTTTGCCAACCCTGAAGGACGACCATTCCGCTACATGCACGTCTTTTTGCTCAAATCATCCAGTAATCCGTGATCAGATACGTCGCGTATCCAGCAATACCTGCCAGTACAGCCTGGGTGCCGTAGAAACCAACAATTCTTCCGGGCCCCTTGGATTCGTTGATCATCAGGCCAAGCTCAGCGTGACTGACACGGAATGCGAACAGAGCTCCAAGTGCGTAGTTTATGTAAGACCTGATGAACGAATTAGGTAGGTTCTGTGGTTTCGGTCTGGTGAGGTTACCTGTTGGCTCCGTTGAGCTCAGCGAGAAGTGCGATACCAAGGACGAGGGGCACGTTCTCAGTAAAGTTTAGCTGCGCGCGTGAGGCAACGTAGAGAGGATCAGTGGTGCCTTTCGACTCGTCCGATTTGTCACCCATGAAGCTGTCGTCAACATTAGTGAAGGTTTGTTACGAATGAGCAGCTTGTCCTACGTTTTCGAGGTGATACGGTGGTAGACAATGCGATTTTGGAGGAAAAGGTAGTAAGCCGCGAATGGGAAAGCCCATGTAGCAGTCGCAGGAGCGAGGAGCGGCATTGGGACGCCGAGACCAACTTTGGTAGCCATGCTTGATTCAGGGACAGAGAGGTAGTTGACCATCGAATTGAGCCAGCGAAGGAGAGGACTTTATAAAGTTGTGGGACCACGGGGTGGACTCAGTGGAGCTGGGAGAGCGGATGAGATGCATTCCCGAGATACATGATCTCGCACTATGTCGTCATTTGGGGGCCTAGCGCACATGTACGAAGCGGGCCGACCAGCAATGTTGGTGCATCGTTGATGCGGTAAACCTCGAGAACATTCGGGAATATTTATACATGATAAAAGTACATAAAGGTGAAGACAATTGGTTGTTCCAGCATGGTATGGTATGGTATGGTATGGAGACGCTAATGCGAAATTCTGCAGGCCCATGAGCTTTTCTTCCTCGATTTTATATAGAATACCCACTGCATTGGGGTCGAAGATTCCAAACTCACTTGATGAGGTGGATGCGCCTGAATATGTCTATAGTTCTACGAAGTACGATAGAGCATGTTTGAGGGATCATCGGTTCTGGACGTTGTTAGCTTCACTTCTATGCCACGGGGAAGAACGTCCGCACTGGCTTCATGTGCTCAGCATCATTTTCCCTGTTGTCGTCCCGCACTTCCTTCAGCATTTTGTCGATGCCTCGCTCGTTCAAAGCTCGCTATGTAACAAGTCAGCTAGGTCCGAGGCCAAGCATCGAGTCGGCTGCGTGACTGACTGAAAGACACTTCTCATACTGCTCGAATATCGGTTTACATTCGTCGGTTGTAGCAGTGCCTCGCAAAAATTCTGCACGTTGTCAGAATCCGTAGGTACTTGGTGCCTAGTTGACGCTCTGCGTACTTTCGCTGTACCACTTGAGGAAGCAGTTATCGTAGCGTCTGGCCTGTGTCAGCGGGTTGCAGAAACAACACCAACAACGCGCACGCTCACTCTTTGACTTCGTTGCATTCCGGTGCTAAGGAGGCGGACATATTGGTGAAAATACAGGTGGTGGTTGAGCAATGGCGCTGATCCGCATGACGGAGGCCGAGGGTCTGGTGAAGGTCGCGCGGCTATCGATAGGGAAAGCGCGCTAGCGAAGATCATTGAAGGTTTCTTTCTCTAAACATTTGCGACACGCGCTTCCTCTCCACACCAACCCTACCTACGACATCCAAGCGAGACGCCACCGTAGACCGCGTCATCGAACACCACCTCGGAGGATGAGCGCACACTAAACTCGCCATGGATTCCTTCAAGACGCTCCAGACAGAAATCGCGGCTGCCCTGAAGTCGACCACCAAGTCTGCCTCTCTCGTAGGCGGCGCGGACATTCCCTTTCAACGATCGCTGAACCCGGACGCTGGCACGCAGCTCGACGCCCAGAATGCGCGCCTCCTTCATCTCGCGCAGCGGCTTCTCGAGAATGCTGCTGCGAGCTCGGACGCTGTAGGTCCCAAGCTGCCCGACGTCGAAGCCATAGACGCCAATTGGAGGGGGGTTGTTGATGTCATCGACAGCTTGCTTGAGAAGGCCGACACCAGTCTCGATGAGTACACGGGCGTTGTGAAGCGCTTGAGTCCCGCGACGGAGCAGGTAAGGAGCGCGCACACGGAAAGTGAGGCGCATCATCTAACGCGTCCGCAGGCACCTGTGAAACCACGCCCCAACATTGCCGACAAGAAGATCATCGCGAAGCCGCAGCTCAAATTCGAGCATGCGCCTAGCAACAGCGAAACTGGCGGCTTCCGCCCGCTGGTCACGTCCAAGCCGCATGCGAAGATCCCGCTAGAAGAATGCTTGCAGACATTCAAGGACAGGCGCGGACGGGAACAATACCCCCACCCATACCAGACCGAGATCGAAACCTACGAGTATCCTTCGACCGTATACGAGCACTCCGAGCCGCAGCAATACCCTCCCTTCGAAACTACCACCGCAACCTTGGTCGATACTCCCGAAGCGTTAGCTACGATGCTCTCTGAGCTAAAGACTGCAAAGGAAATCGCCATTGATCTGGAACACCACGACAACCGCTCATACATCGGCATGGTCTCACTGATGCAGATAAGCACACGCGATAAGGACTGGATAGTCGACACTTTGAAGCCCTGGCGGCGGAAGCTCGAATGCCTGAACGAGGTGTTCGCAGATCCCAGCATCCTGAAGGTTCTACACGGTGCATACATGGACATTGTCTGGCTTCAGCGAGACCTGGGACTATATGTCGTTGGTCTTTTTGACACCTACCATGCTGCTCGGGCCCTTGGTTACCCTGGTGCCAGTCTGGCATATCTACTCGAAAGGCACGTCCAATTTACGGCCCAGAAACAGTACCAGCTCGCGGATTGGCGCGTGAGACCGCTCAGCAAGGAACTTTTCGAATACGCACGCGCTGATACCCACTTCCTCCTATACATATACGACAACATGCGCAACGAGCTAGTCGAGAAGTCCGACTTCTCTAACCCGGAGAAGAACAAGGTCCAAGATGTACTTCAAAAGTCGAAAGAAACGGCCTTGCAACGCTACGAACACCCTGTATACGATACCGAGATGGGCCTTGGAACTGCTGGTTGGTACAAGCTCGTCTCACGCACGCCTGTGCAGTTTACCCCCCAACAGTTCTCTGTCTTCCGCGCCGTTCATAGATGGAGAGATGACCTCAGCCGGAAAGAAGATGAAAGCCCGCTTTTCATTATGCCCAACCACGCCGTATTCACCATAGCTCGTATGATACCTGCGGACAAGGTCGCGCTCTTCAACGCAATCCAACACGTATCGCATATCATTCGAGCGCATGCAGACGAGCTTGTAGCTGTCATTGCTAAGGCTAAAGAGGACGGTGTCAATGGACCGGAGCTGCACAACGTGCTCCAGACGATTGCCGACATGCAGAGGGCGGAAAGGGCCGAGTCAGACGCTGCGATCAAGGTAGCAGAGGTGACTGCAGCACCAGCTGTTGAGGCCTCTGTGCCTCAAAGTACTGTAGCAGTTCCAGCTACCCGAGCTTCCTCTTCAGAGTTTTGGGGCGAACTTTGGAAAGCAAACCAGGCGCCACAACAGCCGGAAATACCAACCATCGACATCGGACTTGCTCTACCATTACCACCTCTCACCGCCCAAGTATTTGCTGATTCAAATGGAACGGCCCAAGCTACACCAAAAGCAGAGAAGCCACAGCACACCTTTGTGCCGAAAGAAGAGAGACCAGCCGAAGACCAACGAACCGACACGTTCGTTGTCAAGCATCTTGGTGGTCGCAAACGAAAGCGAGGAGACGCGGTAGAAGATCAGTCGACCACTGCCCCGGCCCTTGATCCCATGACCAACGACGAGATCATGCTAGACGCACCTGAAGAAACACCGGAAGCCATCCGCGTACGTGAGAAAGCCGCTAGGAAAGCGGCACGCAAACAAAAGAAGAAGGACGATGCTGCTGCCCATGCCGCAGGTCTCAACCACAGCGACGAGCCTGCCTTTGACTACGCGAACGCGAAATCAGTACTGCATGCCGAAGACGGAGATGGGAAGAAGAAGAAAAAGGACAAGAAAAAGAAGAACTCGAGCTTTGCGCCCTTCTCAGGTATGACGGATGCACCCAAGGGACTGCCGAGGGCGCAGAAAGAAGTCGCAGGACGTAGCAAAACCTTCAAGTCGTAGATGTGGAAGCTTGAACAGTCGAAGGGTAATGGAGTGCTTTGCATCTTTGCGTTCTTGTACATATACCTGCATCATGATACCAACCTATTTCTCTCGGTGTCATCAGAATTCAAAGAGATCTGCCCTATGTGGCCAATGCATTGCTACTTGATTAATGCTATGTTGATACTGTAATCGCTGTGAATGCTCTGCCATTATCCATGTTGTTGCCATGTAACGCAGTCTATGAATACGTTCCCCGTCAACCATCCACACCAGGTCTAACGATAACCTTTGCGTGTTGCTTCTGACTCATGCCTGTAACGAAACCGCACACAAGTTGCTGACGACCCAGAGCGATCCTCCTCCATCACTCGTTACACAACCTGACCATGCAAAGTCCGATAGAAAATACCGAAGTTACCGGTTCCATCCTTGCCACCCTCCGGTCCCCGTACATTGTCCAGAACGGCAAACACAATCTTCTCGAACCATCCTCCCTGAAACTCCGGTTCGCGTAGGACCTCAAGAAAGCAACTGGCAACCTCCGCTGGTGGGTTGGAATACACGCCACAGCCCAACGCGCCCAGCACAAGCTTCGTGTGTCCATGTCGAGCAGCAACGCGCAATATGAGGCGGACGTTGTTCTTGGTATGAGCCCTCGCGCCGATGTGCTTAAATGTAATGCCATCGTCTGACAGAGGTGGTTGACGGAGGGCTGCAACGCTGATGACAGAAAGCGCAGGGAGGTCCATGGGATGGGTGGACTCGAGCAGTTCATGGCTGTCGGACATGGAGCTGCGGATGATGACCACATTGGGTGAATATATAGCGGCGAGAGCGGGGATCGGGTAGTATTTCTCTCCATCTAGCGTGAGGTAGAGCGAAGAACGGTAACAGAGACATTCTTCTTGAGCGAGAGCCCCTTTCTGCCAGCCGCCACCGGGTGATCGCTCAGAAGCGAGGTTGAGGACGGCAACTGGACGGACCCGCATGTGCTCAGTGACTTCTCCAGCTTGCTTCATGACTTCGGGGTCTTGAAGTTTTCCTGGAGCGTCCTCTGTGGTGACGTCCTGCATTGGGGCATCGATGTCGGACTTGGGAGCGATCGCAGGCTTGTCGTCCTCCGCATCCATGTCCGTTTTCTTCATGCTACAATGCTGACGGACGGTATGGTTGGGCTCAAGCTGTATTGCTGCATCAAACGAGTCCATGTTGAGTACTTCGATGATGCATGGTTTCTTGATGCCCGGGCACCGTTCTTTAGGGAGAGTAGACCCATCTTGATGATTTATAGTCTCGAGAGTGGCCCACTCGGCATTGAACTTGGACGGGACTTTCGATAGGATACTTGGGAGGACCGACTTGGTCTCGTCGGCGACTTGTTTGAGAGCCATATTGCGTCGGCGATTAGGTGCGCGGTTGTGGTTAGACATGTTGTGCTT